TTCTGCCTAATTTTAAGAAATCATCCGATCTCAGTGAGGAAGCATGGCTTCGGAGTATTCGAAATTCTGGCGAAGACCACATTGTAAGTGCTTCTAAGACAAGAGAAATATGATAAACTCTATCAGTCTGTCCTAACAACGAGCGATTAAGGTCAGAGTACATCGCCACTTAAAAAGTATACTGAAAACCTCCTTGCACTGAAAAGGTAAATGATATATTCAACCAAGAACCTGAAGGTAAGCAAATTACATGACAGCAGGCTATTCTGTTCGAGTAGACGTCGACGAAGTGTCGGTGGGCTGGATTGTATAAACACACTTGAGGTTTGTAAAACAGCTTTTGATTTCGCAATAGGCCGCATATTTCATAAGAAACCACGGAGAAATAAAAACAGCTTCCTGTTGCTTGCTTGTTTTGCCCCCAGCGTTTTAGCATTTTTGCCACAAAGTACTTAGTGGTGCCCGCCTAAGTAAAATGTCACGACCTACTGCAAAAACGTCAACTCCTTTCACACCCAGATGTCTGACACACTGTTGTGCGAGACATCAGCGTTTCGTTTTTTTCGTAAGAATTTAATGCTAAGCATACATACTACACTAATTTGTTGAACCGGATTACCAGTTTCAAAATTGTGGGGAAACGAGGATATTTACTCTGTAAACTTTGTCCTTAAATTTGGCAAGTCCATAAACACCACATTGAGCTCCTTTTACCACGTAAGTAAGGTATAGCGAACTTTAAAATGAAAATTAAGATGATCCCAATTTAGTTAATTAGTTCATCGGCATTTTGTTTAAACCAGCAGCGGGAATAAGTACTGATAATCAGCTGTAGTGATTTTTGAAAATCTTAGCTGATCTCTGCGGTAATGGGAAAATATCTGGAGGAATTCGATGGATTCAAAAAGGAAATTGAAGGACGAACAACAGAAATAATGGAACACCTTGAACGTTCCAGACAAACTTTTCAAGAAAACTTGAAGGCCTGTAGAGCTTACGTCATAGAGCAGGTAAGATTTACCTAATGACAATATTTGCAGATCGAGTGTCTTTTTAAGGAATTAGAAAGGCAAGCTGAATGTGACCAGAACAAAGTCGACGAACATAACAAAGAAATAATTTTGAAGATAATGAATGAAATGGAGGCAATAGAATCTTGCGTGAATAGCATATCCGCCTGCAAAGAGTCTTTGAAGTGCCTTTCCGCAGACAATCAGGAGTTCGAAAGTTAACATTTTTTCAAAGCAACTTTAACATTTATTAAAATGGAACGATTAAATGCTTTTTAATAAATTTCGACATCGATTGATGCCTCCTTTAGTGGTGGTTACCTAAGATCTATCCTGATGTGCTTTCTTTGAGTTTGTAATATAAAAGTGTTACTTACAAAACGATCAAAGGCCTTCGATCTGAATAGTCTACACATTTAAACCTTCAAATTCACAGAGATGTGTAAAAGGGTTTCAACTGCTTCATCTACGTTTGAGAAAGGTTCCACAAATCAAATGTTGTAATTTAGCGTAGCACATAATTCCGAATTCATTTGAGGGCAATACTAAATCCTGGCATTTATATCTGACGAACACCTTCGTAGGGTTTTATTTATTATTTAAAGTGCTGCCTTTATGCATGGAAAAATTTACAATAAATATGCTCGGCACTGCAGCATACTCTTGGCTTAACTACAAATGTCGACATATGACATACTTGGCAAATGTAGAATGTTGCTTTTAACAAGATCGTTTCGATTTTATTTTGTCATTTTCTTCTGAGGTTGAACGTAGAAAATAACAATAATTCTTCTCCTACTTCTTTAGCCCTATCTTTGAAAGTTATCTCAATATCAAATATTTGTGTTAAATATTGCCTGAATCTTTTTTCATAAGTAGAAAACGCTTTAAATTTCTGTAAAGTTTTTAACCTACGTTACGTGTTATGAGTTTTGTATCTTCTGGTGAAATATGTGCTTTGCAAGCAGTGTTGTGTGGCGTTTTGCAAAATCATTATTAAGGGTAATATTCACATAATTTCCTGCTAATGGTTAAGGTGTGTTCACAATAATCATTGTATACATGCTTGGTCTGCAAATTGGGTCAAACAATTAATTACTTTTCTACACGCACTTGGACGTAAATTCTGTTTCCTTTAACTGCTATAGTTGTGGCGGCACATTTCCGTCCTCTTCTGGTACCTACTGACTATAAAATGTTAACTATGGTGAATGAACGTTATATACTATGAAATAATCAATAACATTTTCTATACATTTACCGCAATTTATAAATATCAACTTCATTCGAAAGGCGAAAAAATCGTCGTTTTCAATGACGTATTGAAATACAAACGAAAAAGGTTTTCTGACCAAAACTATTATTCCTTCGTTCTATATAGACGTTTTCGAGAATGATTTACCGTAGTCCGCTGCGTTTAAACTTTTATAGCAGGTATCGAAACGTTCTTTGCATTTGTACGTATTACGGTTGCGATCATGGCTGACCAAACTCAC